GAGGGAAATAGAGAGATGGAGAGGGACCCCATCCCTCGGGAGAGTCGGGAAGAGGAGGAAGAGGAGGTCTTGGTGCTGATTTCTAAACGCAGAAGGTCAGTACAAATGTTCACGACTGTAGGAGGTCCTTTATGGTCGGAGTGGATTACTTACATGGTTTGGATACCTTTTCAGTGCCAGCATCTGTGGTTTGTGGTCTCCGGCACTTGTCTTGATACAAACGGATGGCACTCTGCTCCATCAGGTGGTTGGTATCCCTATGGGCACTAACGACATACCAGAAATTGCTAATCTCACACTATTGGGATGAGGCACAGTTTATAAACAAACTTCATCAATGAGATCTACGTGCAGGGGAAGAGGAGAAAGAGGAGGCCTTGGCGCTGATTCCTGAACGCAGTAGGTGAGTACACATGTACATGACTGTTGGAGGTCCTCAATGCTGGGAGTGGGTTACTTCACATGGCTCGGACACCCTTTCAATGCCAGAAATAGAACAGCATCTGTGGTTTGTGGTCTCTAACACTTATCTTTATACATCGAATGGCACTCTGCGCCATCAGGTGGTTGGTATCCTTATGGGCACTAACGCCGTACCTGAAATTGCCAATCTCACATTCTATGGGGAGGAAGCACAGTTCATAAACGAACTTCATCAACAAGATCTACGTGCCAGGCAAGCGTATGCATTCACATTAAAAAAAGAAGAGACTTTTAGCCTAGTTGGCCAAGGGGGTAATGCTGGGCGCCGACATTTTTTGTTTTTCTCGACTTCGGGCATTTGGACTTTCACATCTGTGGCCGTTATTGCCCGAAACGATGGTTTTTGGTGAAATATGTCTGGGCCTAGCTGATCAGCACGCAGCGGTTTTGGAAAATAGTTTGCCGCAGCCGTCGATCGATTGTTGGAACAGACCTGCATTTGACTACGGGAGGAACAACATGAATTCAATGATTCATTCTGATGTTCCATTGCCTTTGCCCTTTCCGAAGGGAAAACAAAAAACCTGCCAGACGCGTCGGCACTGTGTCAGTTCGCTTCGCTTTTTGTGGAAGGCCTTCGTCAGTTTCTCCATTTACTCTGTGCTCTCTTTAGACAGATGTTTTTTGTGGAAAGTGCACTTCAGTTTTTTTCTGTGGTGAGTGCAGACCTTGCTCGGCATGAGGCCGCTTGTAGAAGCAAGCCTTGAAATTGGGCCTAGTCCAGTTGGTCCAGCCAACTGGCAAATTGCAAACGTGAGTTCGAATCCAACTGAATGCAGACCTGAGTTCGAATCTGAATGGAACTCCACGGCGGGCGTGCCCATTTTCTATTTGGGCCTTGCTCCACCACTCACCAAATCTGCGACATGAGAATGAATCTTCTGGTCGAACATGGAAAGGTACACCGCTGTAATTTTTGCCTTTTGTGCATGTGGTGAGTGGCAGAGCAAGAAGCTCTTTCCCACTCATCAAATCTATGAAATGAGAATGAATCTTCTGGTCGAACATGGAAAGGTACACCGCCGGAATTTTTGCCTTTTGTGCGTGTGGTGAGTGGTAGTGCAAGGCCCTTTTTCCCGTCCATGGCGCGGCGACAGTTTTCAGCCAACCGGCCTATCTCAGCAGGTGTGCGATTATGATAAGTCGAGGCCATCGTAGGCTAGTACTTCAAAGTTCAAAACGAATTAGCGATGCACGGTTCTGCAACATGCCCATTAGTATGACATCTGACCTGCTGTGATAGCCTTCGCATTTGCCTTCACACTTGTCGTTGATGACTTATGAACGTCGTCAGCCACAACTGTTGTGTGCATGTGTGTGTGTGTGTGTGTGTGTGTGTGTGTGTGTGTGTGTGTGTGTGTGTGTGTGAGAGAGAGAGAGAGAGAGAGAGAGAGAGAGANGGAGAGAGAGAGAGAGAGAGAGAGAGAGAGAGAGAGAGAGAGAGAGAGAGAGAGAGAGAGAGAGAGAGAGAGAGAGAGTTTTCATCGGTCGGTTGCCTCCACGCTTCGTGCATCACTGACATATTTGCTTTTGCGAGCGAAGCGGCAACAGGTCATCTAGTATGATTGTGATTATTCATCTAGTATGATCTATCACATGCGTCCGAGGGAATTGAAAAAGTTGAAGAAGTGATTTCAGGAACTTAAAGAAAAGGGATGGATTACAACTGGCTCCTCTGCCTACGGCACCCCTGTACGCTCCGTGCCAAAGAAGGAAGGTAAGCTCAGACTTTGCATCGACCATTGAGGATTGTATTCCTTAACTGTAAACAATTGCAGGAACTTACAGAAAAGGGATGGATCCATTGTGTTCCATTTTGCTTGCTATGGAAATAAACCTGTTTCATTGGTGGATTGACTCATCTTAAGTGTGCTTCATTGTCTGCAAAACAGATGTAAAGCTGGTTTGATTTTGGATCTACTTATCCGGGTGGAACAGGGGCTGTGGTCGTGAAAATTTAAAACACACACACGTGAATGCCCATGTTTGGCTCCAGCCGATGGTGTTGAAAAAGGGCTTGCTCAATAAATGGTTGTACTGTTGTACATGATGCCGTTGTTCCTCAAATGTTGGGAAAAAAGGGGTAGTGCAAGTATGGCCGAACTCCGGTTGCTTTTAGGTTATTAGTACCATTCACACATTCTATGTTGCATGTTTTGTCAGGCACAAATGCTGATCATCGTATGACTATCACAGATGTCACAGTCAATGGTGATGTCAAACACTCATGGTGTAGTTGTACAACTGTCACACACATTCCTATCCTCGTCAGTCGCCGCATAAATTCTAATCATTATGTCATTGGCACTCCAGACTTTGTCACAGGTGTTCTCATTGTCATGTTTTGCCATATGTTTGCATGGATTCTTGCACTTGTATTTTTGTCACACACAGATGCTTGTCTTTGCTGAAGCAGAAGAATTGGAAGCGGTATGAGCACCAGCAGCAGTGATGGTGGATGTGACGGACAATGGCAACAGTAGTGGCAACAGCCGCAGCAGCACCAGAAAAAGAAGGGTCTGAGAGAAGTTGTTTGTGGGAGACCACTTTTTTTCGGAACCTATGCCTGACCTTGTGGGTTTTGTAACTTGTTGCAGGTTGGTGTTCTGAGGGAGAAAGTGGTCGAGCTGCAGACACAAATATTTTCAGCGGCGGATTCTTCTGGGGCCAGGTACAACGTTGAAATGATTGAAAGTGTGGGTAGGGAATTGCAGGAGAGGCTTCTTCAATTGGAAAGGGAGAACCAGGAGCTGAAGCAAAGCTGTGGTGAACTTGCCAAGCTAGCGACACTACAGAAGAAGGTATGTTGCGAGGTTCTCAAATCTTCACATCTTTAAACCACCAGTACTTCGCTCAGCTATTGATGCGGAGCCTGAAATCGACCTATGCGCCGTTTTTTTCCGAGCCTGTAGTGGGGGGAAATCGATTTGGAACATTTGTGGGCTGGCACTGGTACCGCCCCTTATTCTGGACCTGCTGCCAGCAGGAGGAACGAAACGGGCTGTAGCTCACTAGTTTTCACTAGTGCAGGCGTGAGACTGCCTGATGTTGATTGGTGACAGGACTTCAATGCCCCCTGTTTCTCACGGGGAGTCAATCAGATACTGCCGAGATTCTTTTTTTTTATTTATTGCAACAACGGAAATGGGACAAAATGGCATTCTAGGCGACGGCCTTCAGTTTCATGAGCACATGGCAAAGATTCAGGGAGGATACATTCTCGAGAGAGTTCTTTCTTGAGTCACATGAGATACAGCTGAGGTATTTTTACTTTAGTTGCAAGAAGAAAAAAAGAACAGCAGAAAAGGTTGATTGCACGTCCTCCTTCCTATTCATGAGTATCTGCCCACAACTGAGGGAGAATGCATTCTCGGGGTAGTGCTTCCCTTTGGGGCACGCGAGATACAGCCCAGATTCTTCTTTTTTTCCCTTTCTTTTGCAGCAAAAACAAAACAAAAACGGGAAAAGATGGTGTGCAACGTGAGTGCCTTCAGATTCATGACAGGAACTTGAATGCTCCCACAATTGAGGGAGGATACATTCATTTTGGGAAAGTGCCTAAAACATTCATTTTGTGGCAGGCACTTGGATGCTCCCCGTTTCTCACGGGGAGTCAGCCGAGAAACTGCCAGGATTCTCTCTTCCGTGGAAAAAAAGAAAAGGAAAGCAATGCAAATGTCATTGGCTTTAGGGTGAAAAACTGCATCCAGATACATATGTCGAAGTGCTATCATGAAAATGCTGTGCCAAGTTGCCAACAGTACTTTTCCTTTTTTTTTTTTTTTGTCCTTTCCCATTTCACGTCCTTGCAAGTTTCTTTCTCTTTTTTCTTTTATGGCATTGCACACAGCGACCTGCATGTTTCTACATGCACGGAAATCCAAGAGGACATACTGGAGTCCATTGGGCAGTTCTCCCTGGGCCCGCCACCTTCCTCCCCCATAGTGTTTCCAGCCCTCCCCCGAGTCCCTAAGAATGCGGCGCGTTAACGTGGAAGGCCCGCGGCCGATGTATGGCCCAAGTACTCGTGGTTTAACTTTTCTTATTCAGTTTTAGCCCTGCGATTTTCACGGAGGCACAATGAGTCTAGGCTTTCTCAGTTAGTTCATGGAGGAAGTATGGAACTGATAAATCTTTCTGGCACCTAACCGGCCTGTATTCCAGATGACCAACAGGCTGAATTAACTATCAAAATGTGCACTTAATTCTTTGAGTACTCTAGCGTTTAGCATTGTTTATCAAATTGGCTTGGGGAGGGGGGTGGAATGGTGGAAGTGGGGTACATGGGGGAAACTTTGTTCTCATAACAAACGACACCGTTCTAGGTCCTGCTTCTGCTAACATGGCGAGCAGCACCAGTCTTCACTGTCCACACTCAACGAGTCATAGGTTCCTTAAACACAGCACTGTGGTGGAGTCTTGGCCAATGCGTAGATGGATCTGTGCAGAGGCAAGCAGGTAGGTAAATATACTTTGTGTGAGTGTGTGTGTGTGTGTGTGTGTGTGTGTGTGTGTGTGTGTGTGTGTGNGAGAGAGAGAGAGAGAGAGAGAGAGAGAGAGAGAGAGAGAGAGAGAGAGAGAGAGAGAGAGAGAATGGGCATGCTGGGAGATGTGTGATTCTTGTGACCAGTTTGAGTGATACGTCTTAACAGGTTGAAGAGCTGGAGAGACAGCGGGAGAACTTGGAAGCTGAGCTCAGTGCTGCCAGTCTGAGAACACACCATAACTCGGAGAGTGGATTCTGTGGTGATGTTAAGGAGGTTTCAATGTCTGAAACTCGAGAAGTAGAGCAGAGGAGGCGGGGAGAAATAAGGGAGGCACCACGATTTCTATTGGGCAATGATGCTCCGAGTATATATATCACAGCGGGTTTGGATTCTGGTGTGGGGATGTGGGAAGGCAACGAAGTAGCGTTATTGAATCGTGAGGACCGCCCCTTTGCCGGAGACGAGGTTGGTGAGGTTGGAGTTAGGGAGATTGCTGTGGTGGACGATGGTTGGGAGAAGGACTGGGCAGCACTTGAGGAAGCGACTTCTGATTTGAAGAGGGTTCAAGAGGAACTGGGATCGTATAAGGCAGAGCTGGAGGGGATCAGGGATGGTAAAGAGCAATGTTTCAGCCTTGACAGCACGCAGGGCCTCTATTTTGCAAATGGTTTGAAAGTTGAGACCAGCATTATTGATGCAGAGTTAGAACAGGCAAGAGTAAAGCTGGAACAGGAGAGAGGGGACAAGCTGAAGATCCAAGAAAATTTCCTTCGAGCAGAGATTCAAGTGGAGCAGTACAAGATGCAGGCGAAACAAGCTCGTGTGGAAGCCCTCAGCCTAAGGCAGCAGCTTGTTATTGTGAGGGCTGAGGTGGAAGATTACAAGACACAGATGGAAATCGTGCAGTCTGAACTCCTTGCAGTCAGGAGAGAGAATGAGCAAATGATTGATGAACTGTGTAGGAAGGCAGGTGAAGTTGATGACATGCGGGAGAAGCTGGAGGGAAAACAGAAGGAGTGTGAGGAACTGTGTACAGAGATGGCTGACATGGGCGAAGAAAAAAAACGGTTGTCGCAGAGCAAAAATGATGCAGAAGCAAAAATTGATGCTTTAAAGAAAACTGTGGAAGAGAAATTGGATAGAGAACGACGACTGCTCGAGGAGCTTGATCGTGCAAAAACTGAATCAGCTGAGCGGCTTTCTGAGGTAACATTTCCTTGACTTTACCCGAGTTTTTCATGCAGTTCCGCCCTGGTTGTGTGCTCCCGTTTTCAAGTGCTTCTTGAATCACGAGTTCGTCTGAGTCTCTTTTTCCAGATGCACGATTTTCACAGCCCTTTCAGCCAAACTCTCTGCAGAGTGGGCTGGGGGTCTGTCTTTGAAGTTGAGACATTGCATTTTTCAGCATCATGGCTTTCTTGGGGATGCAGTGCAGAAATTGCCTCGTCTAAGAGAGAGAGAGAGAGAGAGAGAGAGAGAGAGAGAGAGAGAGAGAGAGAGAGAGAGAGAGAGAGG